GACCCCCGCAGGCCTTGGACATCACCCAGGAAGCGGCGCCCTGCTGGACCGGAACCGGGCGGGGCCGGTGAGAGCGGTTTGGTGGGCGGGCCAAAGCCCAAATCCAATCCGGGGGCCGGGGCGGACCCACAGGGCCGGCGGGAGCCTGTAGGGCTGCTCTGCTCGCAGGTACTTGTTGCCGGTAGTCGGAGGCCCCCTGACCCAGCAGCTCAACAATCCAGAGCTGGATGCGGAAACCTCAAACCCCGACCTCCGGACTCGGATGCAGCGGCTGCAACTCCGGTCAGCTACAGTGAGGATGAGGGCAGCCGCCCAGGGACGCGACCTAGATCTGGAGGACTGGGGTGAGACCTGATACCCCGGGGATGGGGGGGTGGGGAGGAGGGCGCTGACGGGCTCCCTCCTCTGGCTGCTTGGGATTGGACCTTGGACCCGCCCACTGCTTTCTGAGTCCCTCCCCTCCCATCTTGTTATCGTTCATTCACGCATTCATTTTACAATCACGTATGGAACCCTGACCTCAAAGGTTAGGGAGAGAAGACCAGTATGAGAGAAGGTCTCTGTCTGTGAGTTCACATTCCAGTTGAGTCTCCAAAACATTCTTACAGAACAGTGGGCAAAGGACTGTGGGAGATTGGGGAGGGTAGGCACCCTCCCAACCCCCCCACCCCCTGTGGGGAAGCAGGGTTGAGTGGCTTCCCAAAGTAGAATTTGCCAGAGAAGCAAGGCAAGAACATTAATTTTCTCTCTTCCCATCTGCCTGTCTCTCTTTTCTGTCTCATTGTCTTTTTTTCTGTCTCCCATTGCCTTTCCTCATTCTCATGTCTACCTGACCTCTCTATCCTTGCCTTCCTGTCATTGTCTGTCTCCCTCCTCCTATCTATCTACCTATATCTCTCTCCTCCCTCTTTGTGTCTATCTGTTTCATACTGCCCCTTTTACCCATCCCTGTCTGTCTCTGATCCTCCCGCCCCCCCCCGGCAGATGAGGATGCCAGTGGCTCTGGAGAAGGACAGCACTATGCAGATGACTGGATGGCTGGGGCAGCAGCTGTGGGCCCCCCAGCCCGGCCTCCTCGTCCTCCTGGCCGCAAAGGAGGTTTCATCGTCCGCCAAAACCAGGGCAGGAGCAGGACTGGGGGGACATCTGTTGGTTTTCACACCCAACCCATTCTCATTCTCTTCCTCTCAGCCCTGGCCCTGCTTGGACCTCGATAACAGGGGAAGGGTGCCCTGGCATCAGAGAGGTTCATGGCCCTTTCTCTCCTCCCCTCTCAGCTGGATCTGGGGAGGAGTTGAAGGGGGCTGCAGAGAGGGTTGAGAAGGGACTTTTTGGGTGAATGGCTAGGGCCCCAAATCCAGGAGATTCCCATTGGGATTGGGTGGGTGTTCACATATTTATTTTTTCGTTTGGTATCCGGGTGGGGAGGCTGGGGGTATTTATTTAGGCTGTGGTCTCTCCAACTGAGCCTCTAAGTTTGGGCTCTGGTGGTCAGCCCCAAGGAGGAGAAAGGGAAGATTTTTAGAGTGACGGTTGGGGGGTAGGGTTTGAAGGGAGTTGGAAGTGGGGAGTGGTGGGTTCACCTGGTCTCTGAAATGGACAAAGCTGGGTGCTGATAGGGTGCAGGGCAGGGAACTTGGGTCTGTGTATCAGGATCCCTGGTCCTTGGTTCTATGTGTGTTTTTTCAGTACCAATTTCTTAAACTAAAACGCAAAAAAAAAAAAATTCATGACCTCTGCCATTCACATCCTCCACAAGTTTTGCATTTTACAAATAAACAACTAATTTATTGGACCCTGAGTGTGACTTTCTGTGACTTCAGCCGCCCTCCCCGAGCCCTGGCTCCTTGCAGAGGCGCCAGAGCCTCTAACGGCTCGTTTTCTGCTTGCTGCTTGCCTCTCTTGGATCCCGTCCCCTGACACTGAATTTGGGCAAGTGGTTCACCCTCTGGACCTGAGAACCTTCATCTGTAAGATGGGGAGAATGTAAGGACCAGATAGGACCTGTGTGAGGAAGCACCTTGTTACGGGCAAAATTCTTGGAACATGAAGCATCGTTAATATTACCACACTGCTGCCCCCTGCCTTCAGAACGGGGCTCCTGTTCTCTGCCCGCGTCAGCCTCTGGCTGCCTTGTCACAAGTTCTTGCCAATGTCTGCTTTCAACTCTTGTCTGTTACTTTCTCCTTTCTGTCTCCTGAATAAGTATTTTGTTCTGCAGAAAGCAGAGAAAGAAAAGGTATAAATGATTCCTAAGTGTGAAAGGAGGGCAGAAATTGTGTCTTCCAAGGGCAGGCTATGTGCCCTGACCCAAAAAAAAAAAAAAAAAAAAAAAAAAAAAAAAGATGCAGGGAGGGAGAGACCCAGAGACTTGATCAAAGCTGAAGCAGCTGTCGGGACTGGCCAGACAAAGGGAGGGAGAGGGGAGGAGCCTGGGCGCTGAGAAAGTTTATGGGGAAAGTTTAGCAGAGTGAGGAACCGGGCGGTGGCTGGGGAAGGCCAGATCCTGATTACCCTGCTGCTCCGCAGGAGGCTTGGTGAGTGGGCAAGTGACATCGAGGCTGCAGCCAGTGGAAGGACTCTAGAATTTATGGGAGGAGTCTTGGGGGAGGGGGGTTATCACCAAAGCTGGAGGGGACAGAGGGCTGGAATTGAGGGTAATAGGAGGAGACAGGGATGGGTGGAAGGAATAGAAGGAATCTGGACACAGAAACCTAGTGCAAGGCTAGATCCTGGGGGCTGTGTTGCGGGAAGGATGCCAGAGGGGGCAGGTCTTTAAGTAGCAAATATGGGTTTCTCTGTCTGGAGTTACTCCTGGCTGTCCTGGAAGGGGCTGTCCGGGCTTGTTGGAAGGGCTGTGGCCCGTGGTTGTGGGTTGTAATCTGAAGGGGTGGGTCAGACTCCCAGCTGATTAGGGAACTGGGGCCTGGGAAGCAATTCCAAACTGAATGCTCGTCTATCAGTATCTTTATCTCTTTCTCCAGCCCCACCCACTCAGTCTCCTCTGGGTGCACCGATGAGGTTGAAAAGTGGGAATGGGGTTGGGGTGGGTGGGTTGTGGGGGCGGTGTCTGGGGGTCTGGGTTTTGTAAATAACCCCACATCTCCCCCAGCCCCTCCCATACTGGGGTGGGCCCTGTGCTGAGAGGGAAAAGAGATGTTTGAATTTAGACCAGATGACTGACCCTTACTCATTACAAAGACACTCCTGTGGCCTCACCTCCCTGGGTTCATCTGCCTGACCCACATTCCCTCCTTATGGCTTTCCCTCTCAGCCTCCAAACGGGACTCTTCATCCCGGCAGAAGCTCAGGAGGGAGCCAGGGCCTGGCAACGTCCACCTCACTGTCCTGAACAGATTGGTCTGATCTTTCTTGCAGGGTTTCTCTCTTTCCCTCCTTTCCTTCCAAATCCTGGAGGCTTGGGGAGAAACTATAGGCGGTTGGAGAAGCTGGAGGCAGATGGCAGAGGAGTAGTTGTGGGGCCACCTAGATCTGGGTGTAGAGAGCACACACCCTCACCAACACCCTCCTCTGAATTAGTCCTCGCTGTAACAGCAGGAGAGAAGGCTCTACCCTCTCCTTAGACTCCCTCCTTCCCCTCATTTCCCTTCTAGACGCTGACAGAGGCAAAAATCTGCTAACTCAGGGGGCAGACTCAACCAGGGCTGCAAACAGGCCTGGGGAATGACCCCCAATCTCGAATCTGCACCTTCTGTGGCTGCACAGCTGTCTCTGCCTCTTTGCCTGGCCCTCGCCCTGTCGCCCTTCCCTGTGCCACATGGGCCCTCTGTCTCCTACCAGGACCATGCGCCTCTGGGGGCCTCGGAGCCTGGGGGTGGCTTTGGGAGTCTTCATGACCATCGGATTTGCCCTCCAGCTCTGGGGTGGGCCCTTCCAAAGAAGGTGAGTTTCATCTTGTCCCAATGCCTGA